CACGTAAGCGTAGGCTTCCAATTGTGGACTAACAGACAATTCGTCTAGAGTTTGGACAATGTACCAACATATCCGAATCGAAGCCTTCGTTTACCTTGATCATATTGTCTGAACGAGGATTTTTAAGAATCCCTAAAAACAAAAATCGAGGACATTCGTGTGTTAGCTAATGAATTTTTAAGCCTTGAGATCCTATCCATTTATTGCCATAAATGTACAATTGTATACCTAGGAACTATATTATGTGATAAAGAAAAATAATTACTATGCATTTTTATCCATCTCGCTGTAATAACTATATATAAATTATAAATTATAAAATAGATCATGGCACAAATAGTACAAATATACTATTGTACTAACTACAAAATGTATGTTAACAGCTAGGTGGATAATTTAAATAGTATTAAATTAAATTAAAATAGCTATGGGGCTAATATGTTAAACGAAGCAAGTGATAGTAGGAATTAATCGAAAACAAATTCTGATTTGTTATGCAAAACCACATCAGGTAGAATTTTATTTCAAGTGTAATATGTTAATATGCGATCGAGCAGCATTTCCGAATACGGTTCTTATTTTCGGACAACTACTGTTCTCCGGTATTATTAAGTTACGGGTGACCAGATGTATATTTTTTGTAGCGTTGTTCTACTGTCTTTAAAAGCAAACAGTGGTGAAACATACATGAAACTGTACTGTTTTTTGATAATATCGCAAGCTAATATTATGTAGATATATTTTATGAATTTATGCATATTAGCACTACTTGTAATACACTACATAATGTTTTAATACGAATGTACAAGGATATTTTACAAATGTTACAATTATTTTAAAATTTATTTAATATGCTTCGCGATCTTGTAAGTCAATAACATTCATAAACTCACTGATCAACTATCAAAATTTGTATAATAATTTAAAATGAATTAATACAATACTATAATTAACTGGTAATCCATATTTAATAAATCAACGCACACTCATTGAACACACATGGATTTTTCGACCATTTATTATAATTTAATCATTTTTTTAATAATACATATCCAAATATTAATAACTGTTAAACTAAAATAATTATATTATATTTATTTATTGAGTTATATTTAATATTAACAATTAATTTTCGATCATAATAAATGTTCAATTTATTATATTAATGTTATTTCAATTGTTTTTTAATAAACATATTTATATACTTTATACCATTTTCAAAATATTTTATTGTATAAACATATTCGCATATAATACATTTTTTATGTATTTATATGGTCATATTCAACAATGCACAAAAACCGGGCCCTAGCCTAATATTAATATTTCTACAAACCACTATCAAATTTATACCTATGAAAAATCTATTTCAAATTTGATGATATCCTACAGTCCTACACTGTCATCTTTATGCTAAGAACTCTGTCAATATTCATTTTTTTTTTTTAATCCGGTTTTGTGCGAGGGAGACACGTATGTAGAGTAAAATTTAATTTTTATTTTCATCCCTTCATCACTGAAAAAAAAACTTTTTATTTTTATTTTTTAGAAGATAAGCAATTACCGTGCATCTATGCTGATTGTGATTACTAATTCGTAAACTATAGGCAATCACAGTATTAAATAATGAGCGTACGGATTCATACCCTACACGTAAATAAGTAACAACAGCAACGTTGCAACAGATTTGCTCAGGTAAAACGTATGAAATCGTAATACTGAAAAAGGTCCGTACGGAATCGTAATCTAACCGTTATTTACCTAGAAACTAATTATTATTTATCTACCAAACAAAACAAAGGAATAAAGCAACTGTAACCTAGGTGCCTATTTTTAGCAGTACCAAGTTACTGCTAAAAATTTACCGTAAAAATCGAATATTTTGATCATAAAATTGAATAATAATATAGTAATTATGTACACCTAATTAATTTTGTTACCTATTAAAATATTAAAAACATAGAATGCAATATTTTTATTTTTCCTAGGTCTCAATTGCAAATTTAATTGATGACAACTATCATATTATTTGGAAATGTATTCCTCAAATAAACTAATAAATTATATTTTTAGTAAATTCAAATTATCTTAAAATATCAGTATACTAAATTTTACAAGGTATAAAAAAAATATGACTGGAACGGTGCTACGGTATCACAGTCGCGTCCCTGAGGGAAGGGGGCGATGGAGTCGATCGCCCCCCCTCTATAAGCCTTGTGATGTTTTTTTTTGTTATACAAAATATCCATAGTTCTAACATGAGTACAAATAGAACTAGTTCCAAATGCCATAAAGGTGATTCTGCATCTTGGAATACTTTGATTGAAACAAAAATGGAACACTTCTCATTTATACATTTCAATAAATATTCTCTCAAGGGTGAGATAGAATTATGGAAAACTGAGTGAGAACAATCAATTTGAAAAGATATAATAAAATAATATATTTTTAGAATCGAAATTGGAAATGATTAATTTAAATAACATTTTGATTTTGAGAGTAGTGAAGTCACAAAAATGTCTACCAGAAATCTTGTTTAATATGTAAGTGTAGTACCTTTTTTGAAAGAAAATATTGTCATATTGACTAGATGGTATCTTTAGAAGGTATTTTTTGATTTTCCAAGCAATTTTCATAATATCAGGAAAACCCAGGATAAATCGTAAGAAAAACGGAAAATTTACGAAAATATTGCTTTAATTATTTTAAATTTTGTTTTTTGTTGTAATTCAGGTAAACATATTCGTAGAGATTAGAAATTTGGACATAAAACTTATATTTGCCTTTTCTTGACGTGGTAAAATTGTTGAGCAATTTACATACATTTTAATTTTACGAGTTTTGTACGTAATTTTTATTCGGTAGGTACTCTGTGGATAGAATATTTAGACCAAACAGAAATGCTTGAGAATTTATCAAAAGGTTCATTTAAAGTCGTATTTTGTGATAAAAAAACAAAAATGTTGAGCAGAGGCTAACTCTGAAGCTTATAACTATAAAATATTCATCAAAATGAAACATTAATGTAGAAAACATTATGAAATAAATTTAAAATTTAAATTTTACTATTTTACTGCATTTGTACAATATATCTACAGTCTTCTAAGCTAAGTTGAATCAGACATAAACGTTTTAAATTTTTGTTGACCAAAGCGGTAGTATTCAAGAATAAAAATTGTATCCCCCCCCCCCCATTGAATTGACCCAAAAGTTGCTCCTGAGCAATACTATTAACCAAGCTCCGCTCAGAATCGTTTTTTGTCGGCAGTGCTTAAATTTGATTAGGTAAAGATATACATTGAATTTCCCTCAATACCCTACCTTACCAACTTCTCATCTATAAAAATGGTCCATCCATCATGCGAAGTATGTCAGTCTTTTTTCTTATCAATCATTAATATTAAATTTAATCATTTCACCCTCCCCCCCCACACACACACACACATGTTCAAGGTCTGGAGACACCCTTGGTATCATCTGACTGTAAATCAAATTAATTGTTGTCTAAATATGATTAATATCGATAGGCATGAAAATTCAGTAATACATCTTCCATATACATTTAAATAAAAATTGTTGAGTCACCTGAAATCAAAAAAAAGACATTCTAGGATAATAGGGACGGGTGCAACCACTGTCATAGATAATTTATTATACATCTACAAACAACGATAAACCATTGCTTACGAAAAAACGATTCTGAGTGGAGTTCAGTTGATAGTGATTAATATATATGTCATATTATGGTATAATAATTGAATAGACATTATATATTATCTTTAATAATATTTCTTTAATGTACCGATTTTCCCGTTTTTCCTACGTTTCCTCGGTTATCTTATGTTTTTTCCCGGATTTTCGAATTTTTTGATAAAAAACTGCTGAGAAAATCGAAAAATGACTTTTCTAAATTACCTCTCTATACCAATTTCCTTTCAGAAAAGGTTCTACACTCTCAAATCTTCTGGCAGAAAAGTTGTCAACAGATTCAAAAATATAAAAAAAAAAACATCTTTGTAAAACCATACGCTTTTTCACTCCACTCAGAATCTAACATAAAATAAAATGTTGATACATAAACATAATAATATGTATTAGATATTATATACTTTACAGCCACTTAGTTAAAACTTAACAATATAGGTACTCGTTAAGTAATGCAATAGTAATCTGGATTACTACTTTTCTTTATTTAATTATCTTGATCTCCCCAGCAAAGATATTTGCGTATTTAAGTGTATCAGAACTGCTTATGCATTCATATATAGAATTTAAATATCTTGTTTTTTTTTAAAGCCGATCACCGTTTCCGCGAATGGCTACATAAATATAGTCGCTCTCGCAAAGGGTAATAAAACTACCAAGGCCTGGGAAGAACCGCTTTCGGGTTGTGAAACACACGTTCTACACCTAGATCCTCTAATTTATCTTCGCGGAGCCACGCCCTCGAGTCTTGTGTATATATTCGGGCGTAGGTACCTATGCAAATTGTATACATATTATTGTATACTTATTGAAGCAACTTTGATTGAAGCAAATGAGATGATTTTTTTCTCGTATCAAACAACCATACATAAATTAGATAATAAAATAAAATAAATAAATAAAATACAAATACAAATAAAACAGATACATGAATAATTAATAAATTACATATTCGTTGACTATTTTAGAACTAGGTATGGATATTATTGTACATTTTCGTATAATTGATTATTAACTATTATACTTTGTCCTTCCAAATGGCATTCATTCCATTTGGCTTTCTTGACCACTAAATCACTTAATTTAAGATAACATCATTGCAAGAAAAAAAAATCACACTACTTAATAATTAAAATAATTATGTGTGTAGCACTCAATACAAGAAAACAAAAAAAAAATATCTCTAACATGTATAGAAACATTACTCGCCTTAACAATGATTATAAGTTAATTACCAAATTTCCTTAGCACACATAGATGTGTGTATACACATAAAATATATACATATATATAAATGTATTAATATTATATAATCATAAAATAGACTATAAACTGTAAACATTATTAGCCATTAACAATTTAGGAACCTCACAATTCTTCGCAACATAGACCACATAATCTTGCTGCCAGCTCGGCTGCCTAGTTTAACGTTTCGGTCGACTAGTTTGATTTTCCTGGATGGTCGTCTTGGTGCTGGTGTCCTCCAACGTTAGATCCACTGCATTTTCTCTTTCATCTCCCACTGCACAGTCTTCCAATGACTAGATGCATTAACCTATAAAACTCAAATGGAACGTTTACCAGGCCAAAAACTATACATGCAAACTCTCCCTGTTCCATTGGAGTGATAAAAGCTGTTCTTTTCCCTTGCACGTTCTGTTAATAGTAGTTGTAGATATCCTGATGCCAAGTTCAACATACTAAATATCTTGACTCCACTCAGAGCCTCGAGCTGATCATCTAAATTTTCGATTGGAAACACGTTTTTCTTGATTTGAGCATTTAGACGCCAATAGTCCACTACCAACCTCAGCTCGCCTGTATTTTTTTTCACCAATAATACTGGGGACGAGTATAATGAGCTGGTTTCTGTAACTATTTCTTATCCTTTTCACTTTCTCACGATATCATCAATTGTTTTCCTTTCTGATTCGCTACATCGGTATGGCTTTCCTACTATGGGTGCCCCTTCGTCTTCAATAACCATTTCGGTTAGATCGGTACATTGTAACTCCTTCAGGTTGAAAGAAAAACAACATCTGTACTCGTTCAACAAATCCACCAATGACCCCACCTCTTTGGGAGAAAAACTGTCATTTTACTGCACCATGTCTGACGTGATAGGCAACTCTTCCTGGGTTGATAATGTTAATAGTTCTTCCACGTATCGATGTCTTCGATTTTCCGAATTTTTAAAGGACTCACTCGCATATGGAAATAACATACCAAAGTCAAAAATCAACTAGTTTGTTGTTTTAATAAAAGTAACATTCTCCTTGTCCATAAACGTATGACCAACAATTATAACATAGTTCTGTACCTCATCATCGATCACTAGCATATCATACGCGCACTTACAGTTATCACAAGCGGTTTCGGATGTACCAAAAGACTTAATGACTTGTCTTGTTATACCCGATGAATTTAAAACGTATTTGCCATCAGAGAGTATTTACTGTGGAACAATTTTTATTACATGATAACGGACCTGATGAAAGTAGGATTTTAATATTTGGCCGTTATCGAAGCTTCGAAATATTAGCTAAATCTACTAGATGGTAATTAAAAAGTGGCCTCATCACGTCCACCCATTGTGGACACTTATTAAAAACTTAAGAAAGGTTTAGTCAAGACGTGATACATTTTATCAACAAATGGAAACTGGAAATAGTCCTCCAAAAAAAAAAAAATAATTTATGCCGACGAAAGAATTTTTAAAATTTAAAGAGTTACAACAACCGCAATGTAATTAGTTTTTAAGGAGCAAAATATAAGTTGCTACTAATAATAATTACTTTTTATTTATATTAATTATATTTATTTTTAAAATTTTTGTGTTTTGTACGCCAAAACAGTCTCGTGCCAAAATAACCTTACGCCAAAATACGGCCACTCTAATATAGCCACACCAGGACGGATACGCCAAAATGTCTGGGTCCGAGTTTGGTAGGTGTTTAATTTATATTTGTAAACAACAATAAACGAAGTACAATTCTGAGCGAAGTTCACTAAGAGCTACTTATTTACAATAAATTTTGAAATGCCGTAGTTAAAAACGTTTTTAAAAACTATATAAATACAATAAAAGAACCTGCTGAATAATAAACTGAAAATATTCAAAAACCTACTGCATTTTTTGTGAGCCACTGTATTTTCAATGAAATAATCAAACAAAATTGCAATTATAACTATGATTAGCATAAGTGAGTGGATGTTTAAATAACTTAATAGCAAAACATATTGTCACCAACTACTATACCACGTTGAATACACCAGTTCTCATCCGATCACTAAAGTTAAGCAACGTCGGGCGGAGTTAGTAGTACTTGAATGGGTGACCGCTTGGAAACACTACGTGCCATTAGCATTTTATCGTCTCTTTTTTTTTTTTTCATTAAATCTAAGGAAAAAAATTTAATTTAATAAATAAATTATAGCAAAAAGCACTGATATGCAAGAGACGGATATCATTGTTGTAGGTGAGAAGTTGAAAATGTAAAATACATTAAGTTATTTAAAACAGTTGATAAAACATTGCTAACGAAATACAATTCTGAGTGATGTTCGGTTATGTATATTTTTAAATGCCGTAATTTTTACGATTTTTGTCGAAATTTAATTTGAATAAAACTCGTATAAAAAAACGGCTACATTATACACTCAACTTTTTTTTACCACTAATTACTACTTATAATAAACTTCGTCTTAAATTTTTAAGTATTTCTGTTTGTTCAAATAATTTTAGTAAATCAGGTACCTACGTACCAAAAATAAAACTAAAAAAAATCCTATAAATAACTCAAAAATAGCCAACATGGTTTGAAAATTTTACCAAGTCTAAAAATGAGTAATATCCTATAAATAAATTCTGTGATAATTTTAAATTTAGAAAACACAACAATTTTGAAAATAACGAAACATTTAACGGTTTTTCCCAATTTTTATGAAAACTGGTTTAAAAATTAAAACACAACTTCAACTAGATCAAAAATACATCAAAAAAACACAGAAATGGACAAACTTCACACGATTAGAAGTTTGGAAAGTAGAGAGAAAATTTAACGTATGTCTGTACGTAAAGATTAATCATTGCTAACGAAAACCGATTCTGACCAAATTCGATTGTACATGTTTTTATCGGTCGTAATATTTACGATTTGAAAAGAATACATTTCGTACATGTTTTTCCCGTTTATTATGAAAACTGACAAAAAATAACCCCCCCAAATATTACTCAAGTCAGATTTCCTTTCAGAAAAAGTGATATAATTAAAAATAAAAACTAGATTTCTGGTAGAAAAGTTATTTAAAGATAGGTAAAAAACACACCATAGTAAAACGAATAAATTCCTCGCCATGCACAGAATCTAAAGGGCCCCTCAAACGTACGTAGACCTCGAAGCCCGTGTACGCTACGCTGCACACTTTACACACTCGGATTTTGCGACACTGACCTTGTGGACCGTCTATAATAAAATAGGTAACAGATAGCAGGTGCACATTTTAATTTTTCGTTGTGCAAATTTGGGATTTCGTAGTGCACAAAGTGTGTCATAGTGCACAAAGAGTGTGCACTACGATCCACTGATTAGAATACGCTCACTCAGTGGCAATTGACTCGTGACTAAAATGGGTGGGTAGGCGGATCGCCAAATGTGTTGAATATTGTTTAAGATTAACTAGTTCAGCGATCAGAAAGACTTTTTTATAGTTTTGTATATTATGTTATTAATATACCTACACACGAATATAATATTATAGCTAAATAAAGTTTTTGCTGTAAAATAAATTATTTATAGGATATATTATATATAAACTGTATGTAATATATTTGTGTAGGTAGGTCCTAATTTTTGTGTTTAACCTCAAGTATTTAAAATGTTCAGCACGCCACTGCGCCCATTGACATGATAACTCTGCGGTAAGCTGTATAATATATTAGATACCTACCTACTATTATTACATTTTATTAGTTTATTACACATATTTTTCAATAATTTATAATTCATCTTGAAATTTATAATACATTAGACAACTTCCAAAACTTTTGTTTTATGCTTCAAAAGTTTGACACTTCTAAAAATTTGACACCCACTCAGGACAACTTTAAGTATTTAAAATTACGAGAGATTTTTTTTGTAATAGTTTAGATCTTGTTGAGACACTGACAAAGTCTTTTAAAATTTTCGTAATCATTGAGAAAAACCGAAAAATAAGAAAAAAGTATACATTTACAGCACCTAATAGAATTTTTGTTTTTCTGACATACATTTTATTCTTAATTTTTACAGTAGCATCTTTACTTTTGTAATTTAGTTTAAAATAATTTTAGAAACTTGAAATTTCCATAGAATAATAATAATAGCCTTTTATAGATGCGGTATTATATTCAATCCATTCTAGCGATTTTTTTAGTTATTTATTGACATTGATCTTTTTAAGTTTTAATTTGATTTTCTGTGAATAAAATTGTTTGAAAATTATACACTTTCATTATAAGTCACATTTAACAGTAAAAAGAAAAAAAAAGGTAGTTATAATGCAGACGGTTTTTTTTATACGCGTATATAGTTCAAATTTTAACAAAAACCATAAAAATTACTGCATTTCAAAACATGTATAACCGAACTTCGCACGGAATCGTTTTTCGTTAGAAATCATTTACCAAAACGATTTTAAACATAAGTTACTAAAATACCAATTCATTTATCACCATGCTGATATTACAGTTAGTACTGATATCGTTTTTCAAATAATATTAAATTCAATTGGTTTTAATTTTTTGAAAAATATAAATTAGTTACATTATTTAATAGTTCTCAGTATTCTCGGATGCTGTGAAGGCAAGTACAGCGCCATGGTGTTGGCATTGGTTACCTCTGTATTGAGATTCTTAGGACCACAACCAGACTCATGCAGGGAGGGCCACGAGTAAGCTACTAACATCCTCCCCATAATGCTTATAGCCAACTCAGGTTCTCGATAGCGCCTTTCTTTTTTAATTAAAAATGCTAAAACAGCGGGTTGAGGATCAGTGGGTGCAGTTCCAACACCGTTCAACGATACATACATCCTATAATCAATAGCTTCTTCTAATAAATTAATTTGATACTAAGTTTTCATTTGATTTTAATGTGTAATTACTTTTTCCGTTGTTATTGAATAGAGACAAATAATTAATTGAGTAACAAATAGTTCTTGTAATATACCACTATGGTTTTAGCAGGTTTCGTCCCTAGTTTTAATAAATATATTGTTTTTTTATCATACATTAATACTTGGAATATATTCTAGCATCAGTCAAAATTCAGTTACATTATTAACAAACTCTAAAACTTTATCATGACCGAGAATATTTTCAACCAAATGACAATCAACTTACAAGAATTTGCAAAAATTAGATACAAAAAAATCAGTGGGTGAATTATTTCTTTACTGTATGTTCTAGTCTAGTCTAAACTGAATTTAAACACGGAAAACATTCCAAAAAACACCCGGCTTGCGTCCCTACAATATTATCAAAAGTCACAAGTCCAACCCCATATGCACTTCAGTTTACGGTACTATCCGTAATAATTAATAACTTATAACTAACTAACTAAGTTCATTCATGGAACACGATTCTAGCTTCAGTCCATGTAAATGTAACCTATAGGTTATTACAAAACCAAAACTTATAATCCAATCGAATATGATTTATATTTTCGTTGATTACAACCCAAACTGTTTTTAAATTGAAAAAAGTTCACAAAAAGTATGATTTTTTTTTTTAACAAAACTGTTGAAACTTTGGTTTACTACTTTTTAGATTGTATATTACAAACAATATTCAAAAAAAAAATTGCACTGGCAAAAGCTCTATAATAAGTTGAAAAAGTAAAGAAATATAAAAATGTACGATAAATTATAACCATGTATAAATCATTAGTAAATAAATTCTAATACTACGATTCAGAAAAAGTTGTTAAATATTTGTTAATGCAATACAATGGCGAGCAGTGCTAAGGTGCGATGGTGTGATCCTTACATAAATTATTTGAAAAATAAAAAGCAATTTACAACAGTCATTTATTCTTGTTATAGTAAATATTAATCATTATAGTTTGTATTTCTTTCGAAATAATTGAAAAGATTCTGTATGGCTATGGAAAACTATGATTTTTGAAAAAAAAATGCCATTCCAATGCAATTTAAAAATTGAACACAGGCCGCGTTCAAAAAACATCTGCAATGTTACGTAGTATCATGGATCACGTCAACGTGTATTTTTATTTTTTTACTCACCTGAATATGAAATCATTATTCTTCGGTATTCAGTAATATGAATAAATTGTCTTTAAACTTAGTGTCCATAACTATAAACAGACTCCATTTTTAGACATTTAACAACTTTTTAAAATTAACTTACTTGCGCAATTGTATGTAATATATTCATTTAGTAATGGTATAATACAAAAAAAAACGCAATATTTTGATTATATTTGCTAACAAATGTCGATTATAGATGTTTTGAAATGCCGTAATATTTGCGATTTTCGTCAAAATGTCATCTTAAAATACTTATCGAAAAAAACTACTACCAACATTATGCTCAACTTTTCTTTAACCACCAACTACAACTTATGGTGAACTTCGTGTTAAGTTGTCAAACATTTTTGCTTAACCGAAACAGTTATATCCACATAAAAACTAATAAACACTTATCAAACTTGAAATTTTCAAATAGCTATAAACTGCTCAATAAACGCCTAAATGTGTTGTAACATTTTACCACGTCTAAAAATAGCTAATAAAAAATATTTCGTACAAATCACATAACTCTGCAATCGTTTTTAACCGGATTACAACAAAAAAACAAATTTGAAAATAATTTTTAAAAATATAGTTTTTCCCAATTATTAGGACAACACCAAAGAAAATTAAAAATTAAAAATAGCTGGTACTTCCGATGGATGCGCCACTGTTGTAGGTGGTAAATTGGGAAGGTATAATACAGAAAGTTTTTTAATTTATTACTATACGCAACGACAAATCATCATGTGATAAATTACTGGTAGAAAAATTGTTTACAAAACGAAAACACAAATCAAAAATATAGATTCCAAACTTATTCCTTGCTACTCTTAGATTCTAAAATAATTATGCATGGAAAAACTTAACCTGCGGCACAGTGTTGACGGTGTTTATTTCGTAAGTCTTATTGTACGGGCCGGAAGCTGAGTACAAACTTCACGTAACCCGGACACCATTTATTTCACGCGTATAATCGACCGACCGGGATTATGCACGTGCATACTGTGTGTATAGCACTCAACTGGAAGTGATCAGGTTCGCCGGGCAAAAACAGTGGTGAGATGGATAGTTGTATATAACTTTATAACTATTTTAGATTTTGAGTGTAGCGAAGAATGTATTGGTTTTACTAAAATGTTTATTTATTTTTTTTTTTTATACTATGCACAAAAATTCTACCAGAAATCTTGCTCCGATAAGTACGAGCGGCACCATTTTAGAAAGGAATATTATCCAGATGGTACCTTTGGGAGGTAATTTTTTGATTTTCCAAGCGGTTTTCATAATATCTTGAAAAAACCAGAATAAAACTTAAGAAAAACTGGAAATTTACGAAAATAATGCTTTTATTATTTTTCAATTTTGTTATTTGTTGTAATTCAATTTAAAATATTCGTAGAAACTTACTTGAAGTTTGAACGGAAAACTTGCCATTTGCCTAATCTAGAAGTGGTAAAATTTTCAAAAAATTTAAGCCATTTTTGGGCTATTTATAGGTATTTTAATTTTGCGAGTTTTATAAGTTATTTAAAAAAAAAAAATCGTTAATGTAGTATTTTTTTTTTATAAAGGAATTTTAATATCAAATTTTGCCGAAATCGTTCGAGTAAAAAATTATGTGGAACAATTATATTTTTCAATTTTTTTTTTTTTTTTTTTTTTTTAATATAATTTTTATATTTCCAATTTAAGAACGATGGTGAATTCAGAATTGATCGGAGTTTTAAAATTATTGCTTTTTGAAATTCTGATATTATGAGGACATTATATGTTATGTTAAATAACTCTATATTGTCTTGTTTAGAGTAAGTCTGTCGTAGCCTAATAATTATACATACCTATTGTTATCCTAAAAGTAATGAGTTCAAACCCGTGTTTTGAAAAAAATTGTTCGCACTTATTTTTCCCTTTTACCTAAATAAGGAACAAACATGTGCATTTTAGGTGTACCTAGGAACCCTGCTATCGCTTGCTTGAATTATTTTAATCGAAAAATACCCCTCGATTTGTTATGCAAACTTTTCTATCAGAAATCTTGCTCCGATTTTTAAGTGTAGCACTTTTTTTGAGGAAAATCAGACTGGGGAGGTACTTGAGAAGGATCATTTTTCGATTTTCCCAAGAGCTTTCCTAACAAATGTAAAAACCGAGAAAAAGGTAGAAAAAAACGGGAAAATCATTACCATAGTAAACAAATATTATTTATGTAAATATATAATGCTTAATTATATTTATTAAATTATATTATAATTATATTTAATTATTTTACCATAATATGATATACATATTGTTGACAAAGCATCACTATCAGCTGAACTCCGCTCAGAATCGTTTTTACGTTAGCAATGGTTAATCGTTGCTTACAGACAAAAATTAATTTCCCCTCTATATCCTACATTCCCAACTTCTCACCAACAACAGTGGCTGCACCCATCGTGCGAAGTATGTCCGTCTTTTTTTTTTTATAGATAGAAAAATGGTAACAAAATATTGGTAGTAACAATAATATTTAAATATACAAATACACAACAAAAAAAAAAAAAAAAACTAGTTGGTAGAAAAACCGTTAGGTACAAGTAGGTACAAAAATAACAAAACAATTAATTTAATAAATAAATGGCAGATAATTTACTCACAGATAACACGACGTGCAGACTGGCCAGCCGCTGATTAAACCTAAAATCGGATAAAAGGATTTTATTCCCGCATATGCTATCTCCATTTTACAACCCCACGCCATAACAAATTTTCGTTCAGCAGGAATTACTCTGAGTCCTTAGTTTTAATATCGGAGTAAAATGTGTTAAAATATTAAATCTTGATATTTCACACAATTACATCTTGCTTGGAAATTAAAACTACGACACGACCACGATAATGTTCTTGTCTTTGAGTTTGATAATAGATCAATCACTGTCATATTAAAACTAACGGCACAAAGTTTTCCCTACAAAACGCAAATTTAGTATATCGCGCGGTTTTAAGACAAGAGAACCTATGCGGGTATAACGTCCTCTTAAACCTAAAAAATAAAAATACAGATACAAATTACAATTCACGATAATACTAAATTACAAAAATAATGATAAAAGCGAATGGTAACTGACAGCGAGTTTTGGTAACGTTACACAGGGAAGTTTCAATTCAATAATAATCAATAATACGTATTGAAGCCTTTTTCCTATAAAAGCCTGGTGTCTGTCACAGCCGTTGTTCAATGGGCGACGAGATAGAGAAAACTTGAGACCAAAAAGTATTACACTTTTTGTATCGTGTATGCGGCAGACGTAAAAGACAGGACCTACGTACATGGGGATAATGATTCTAATGACGTACAATATTTGCATATATGTGAATTACATAATTTTGCTAATGAAAAAAAGTTAAATTATACATAAACTAAATGTGTGTGCGTGTATAAGTTGTGAGTGTACACGGCCGGTAGGTAATTATAATAATGACAGCCTTGACCTACGCATTTTGCCCGTCGGCGACGTTTCACACTAGGTATGTAAACACGTGTCATACCACCGGAACTGCGACGGTGACATCCCCCCCTTCGTTGAAATGTTGTTGATTTTCAACTTCTGTTGAGTCATTGTCAGTGAGAAGTACACACATTTTAACAACGGATCTCTTAACCTTGGCCCTTGTAAAGGCTCTGACCGTTAGCACGCATACAGTTCCGCCCCCTCCTGGATGTATTCGGATGATTCTACCATTTTCCATTTAGTCGGCGGGGCGCATTTTAAATGATAGATAATAAATGGGGTATTTATCTTTGATTATAACCAAACCGTCTATAGTTCGGTTAAAATATGTTCTTCAAGAGCGTTGAAAAAATTTACGATTTCTATAAAATTAATAATCTACAAGCTGAAGCTAGATGTTGGTAGAATTTTTGCCAAAATCGGGATTGCCAAGACATAAACTTCATTGATTTGTTAAATAGTAACTGTAAATTTTTCTCAAGAATAACAATTGCTTTGGAAATATTTGTATCCCTATCAGCTACAAGTTGTATAGCAGAATGTTCTTTTTGTACTTGAAGGCGTGTTAAAACATGGCTCTAATCAACGATAGATGAACATAGACTGAGTGGACTATGCATGTTAAGTATTTATCACAAACAAGTAAAAGCAGAGAAAGACCAATTAATTGCAAAAGCACTAAAAAAATTTGTCAAAGAATGTCCACGTAGATTACGATTTGTATTTAACAAAAAATAATAAATTTAAGTAAAAACACCTATAGTAATTATGATGAATTAAAGTTAAGAAATTATTTTATAAAAATATTGTCATTTATTTTTTAAATTATGTTTGCCCCCCTCCCTGGAAAAAAGTCTGTGAACGCCCGTGCATATCATCATGTTCAGATCCCCAAGCCTAAGCTAATTTTCAACAAATGGTGCTTAGCGCTCTTGACAGCGCTTTCTCAGGGGCCGCCAAATTGCTGAGTGAACCATTGGTACAACTCCCTACATTCGTGTTTAAGTATTATAAATTTGATAAAAAACGTTTTTTTTCAACACATTTATATGACATCCTTCTTCAAAAAGTCATGTTTGCACCACTGGAATGAACTACGGGTTAAAATACCATACAATGCCTTCCTTGACCAATACAGGGATAGCGAGCCAAAGAAGTCTACCAACTCTAGTAATGATAATTTTTTTTTTTTTTTTAGAAGAGTTCCAGAGTTGTATACATGCAGATTTTTTAAATCTAATGATGATGTTAAAAATCTGCTGCAACCATTTCTTTAAAAAAATAATCTGAATTAAACCACCATTCATCTAATATTTTTATTTATGACCGAATAATTTTACTTTTTTTTTTTCCTAACCTCCTGCATAGAGATCCTGGATGGCGTATTTACGGGGAGCTGTAAATACTCCACAGTTTATCAATCTTGGCTACATCATACAGTATTGTGGATCTCACGTAATATGTTATTCTTAAAATACATTATACGGTATAATTTATGGTGTTTTTGCAGGTGCCGTAACCAAATTATTCTCAATTCATTTGCCGATTAGACAAAAATTAAATGCTTATTTTAGATTTTGACCGAAGTGAGAAATGTATTAGATTCACCATCTGCTTTTCATTATCATTTTTTTTGTCAGAAAATAATATTTTGTTCAGAAATAAATAAATAATATAGTGACATCTTTTATCACTTGTTTTCATTTATATTTCCACATGTGGATAAAATAAAAATCTGCAACTGGTTACCATCAAATGTTTGAATTTTTAAAATACCACTTGATTTATTGATTTAATTATTTCTTATACACTATAAAAAAAATATTTAATACAAGAAATGTACAATAATTATTTTTATTTCAGGAGAAAAATACTTAGGGAAACTATACAAATTATGATTTTAAAAAAACTTAGGTTAAAATTAACTCATCCCTTATCAAATGAAAAATAAAAACATCAATCAAATATTATATTTAATCAATGCCTTTATCTGTATAACTCAATAGGTAGCTTTATAAATTTTAGATTCTGAGTGGAGTAAAGAAGCTTATGGTTTTACAAAGATGTTTATTTTTTATTTTTTTATCTGTTAACAACTTTTCTACCAGAAGACTTTTTCGAATTTCTAAATGTAGCACCTTTTCTGAAAGGAAATCAGGAGAGAGGTACTTCAAGGAGATAATTTTTTGCGATTTTTTCAAAAGTTTTCTCATAAAATTTAAAAAACCAAAAATATATTACTAAAATATTACTATTTTTTTTTTTCCAGTAAACAACTTTTCTACCAGCAATTTGGCTCAAACTTTTTATTATAACAATGTTTCTATAAGGAAATTTCACTAGGGAAGTACTTAAGAGAAGTAATTTTTCAATTTTAAAACTGTTTTCCAGCAAATGTTAAAAACCGGGAAAAACATAGGAAAATCGGGAAAATCAGTATAACATTAAATAAATATTATTAAAAAAAATATATAAGGCCTATTTTAATATTTTACTATAAAATTACATATATATTTTTGACAAAGCATTACTATCAACTAAATTTCGCTCAGAATTGATTTTTCAATGGTTTATCGTTGCTTAAAGGTGTACATTAAATAATCTTTAACAGTAACTACACCCTACCCATAATTCTTTTTTTTTAACTCATATTTTAAAGTTTAAAAGCTGACAACCTTACAGGCTACAGTGGTAGAAGTCAGTCGGATGATCATAAATGTCATTTATTGATTTTATGAACAGTAAAACTACTGTTAAGTTAAATAACAACAAATAAAAAAATATTTTCTTTCAAAAATATAATAATAAACTAAACTTAATATTTGTATAAACATCTATGCAGAAAAATAAATTTTTACAGAGTACATCAAATAATAATATATACTTAATTACTGTGTTTTAGGAAAATATGCTGGAGTATATTTTATTCTTGATCCACGCTGATTAACTGCATATCTTAACACTGGTGGAGTACGAATATAAATGCCTCGACTTTCAGGTGTCCAAGCTTGCACGTCACAAACAGCATTAGTATAAGGTGTCACAGAAACCCATCCTATATAAAAGTTGTAAATATTTATTATTGATGTTGTACTATTATTATGCATGTATTTATAATTTAATATTAAAATTAAAATACAATATATTCTAAAATTAGACAACTACAGAAAACAATTGGACGACATTTGTGAATTTTATAACTTTTCAGCTAAAAAAAAAACTGAATAATGTACTATACTTATACCCTTTTGAACCAACAGATTTTCCTATCTTAACTTATGCCTTAACATATATGGTTATTACATGATATTAAAAATAAGATAAATTGCAATACCAAACATTTAATCTGACATAAAATTTTAAACAAAATTGATGAGTAATATAAAATTTGATATGTTTTTCACAAATGCCGTCTAATCGTACTCTAAAACAAGCATAGTCAAACTATTTAATTACATAAATAAAATTATAAAATAATATATATCTATACAAATTTAAAATTCAAAAGAGAATGAAAGGAAAATTAACAAATGGTATTAATTTTCGCGCAAATTATAAATATAACCTAAATGGTTTTTCATATTATTAAAATAATTTTTTAAGTTACATTGATTATAATAGTAAACATATCAAATAAAATATGAATAAATATAGTTGAAAAGTTATAACTCGTGATAACAGTGTATTATCTCAAAATATTAATTCTGAATTATGTTTTTCTTACAATAATTTAAGGAGCTCATTTTACAGTAATTATTATTTTTTAATTCATATGTTGGAAATTACAATTGTACAACTACTCATTGGCAATTTAAACAAATACATACTTAAAATTACTACGGATATATATGCTTGTTTAAATTAAAATACCCAAATACACTTAGTAGTTAGCAACACTAACTAAACACAGAAGAACAAATCAATGTCTTAAACTCGTTAAAATATAAATGTTTCTCACCTGCTGATGACAAAACAATGTCTGCACAACTAGTTTTATCATTAATTCCAGTTAATTGAATTTTTTCTTTATAACAACTTAATCCGGGCCACTTGGAAAGTCTTTCTTTACTACCACACGGAACAGCCAATAAATATGTACCTAAAAGTTGCTCATACACCTCATCTGCATCCTCAAAATCACAAATAGTAATTGGAAGTGTAGGTGCACTAAAGACAGTAAACCGAACAAATTTTGCTGCTGTTCTTAAACAATCAATTCGACCAATACCACCAACAAACAGTGTTTGCCGATGTCTTAAACTAAATGTTCTTGGTTTAATAACAGCGGTAGGTAAAGTCATCATCAATTCTTCAGTAGTCAACAAATTAATGGATTGGTCTGGATGAACAACACCTGGTGTATCATACATCCATTTACTATGAATAAATTCTGGATCGTTTTCATCTAATCCCAAAGAGCTACTAGTTACACGATTTTTGTTAATTTTGTTTAAACTGGAAGCAAATGGATCTATATTGTTTTGTTTTTCAAGTTCATTTTGTTTTATTTGATTGTAAAACGTAAGACCAATTTGACCTAGTATAAAATATTTTTAGTTAAATAACTTTACTATATATAGGATTGTTCTTACAATATTTCATAAAATGTTTGTTAGGGATAACTAATATGTTATGTGAAGCATCAAAATTCTATTGATTAAATGATGGTTAACATTAACAAATACTTTACAGGAGACTATAAAAACAAGGCTTAAATTAAAAGTAATTTATTAATGAGTTACCAATAATTGACGGTATGGTATTTATTTTCAATCTTGCTAGACGTTTCTGATCTATTTCCAGTTGTTGTTCTAGTATCCTTTCTTTTCTTTCCGATTTCAGACGTTGAGTTCTCATGTATAATCTCCAATTAGATGCCCGCATTATGGGGAACTTAAATAAAAATATAATTAATATAAAACATACATAAGTGATTAGTTTAATTTTACCTTGAGCAAATTTAATGTAGTACCAGGCCAAGGTGATGTAGTTGCTCTTTGCACTAGATCTACAGCTTTAACTTTACAATAATCTGATTGCAATAAAGTATTAAACATTGTTGACTTGCCAACATTAGTACATCCAATCAAATACACATCACCTTTAGTTTCCCATAGCATATGTAATTTATTTATTAACTCTTCAATACCAAATCCTGTTTTTGCACTAACAACAGTTACATGTTTAACATTCATTTCTTTCGGAATGTTTTGAACCAAAGTGCTTTGTACATGACTAACCCATCCAGGAAAATCACCGGGTAATAAATCAAGTTTATTGCCAACGACAACTATTGGTTTATTTGTACCGATGCAATTTACTAAATTTGGCCAAATACTGCAAGGAAAATCTGTCAAATCTACCATTAAAATAATAAGTGCTTTTTTTTTTTTCAGAGGATACAATAGTTTAGGGTATTCAATTGGATCAACTTGTACAGCTAGAGCAGTATCATATTTATTTATGAAATGGCAACGTTGGCACACCATTGTCCGGAGATCTTCAGTTTCACAGTGACAAAACAACTCACTAGGTAAATAGCCAGGTATAGATGGATTCTGACAGTGTAACAGTGCTCCACAACCACCACAAGGTACATTGCTAATATCAATGGATGAGTCGGGTGTACCATATTCAGACGTCCAAGAAGGAATACTATTTTCTTCCACTAAATCTCTTTCTTCATAACACTCGTAATCACTCATCCAATTTTTTGTCATCAACTCATTTAACTCATCTAAGAAATTATCACAAAAATATTATATAAGTATACTTAAGTAATAATTATAAATTAAATTAAAAATGCTTTATACAGTAACTTACAATCATAATTTACTTCGGTGTCCACATTATCTTTAACATTTTGGTCATCATCGTTTATAATATTGATTTTACTAACAATGCTGTATGGTAAATTATGTGGTTTATTTATTTTCTCTGTGGCTATTTTAGGTTCTCCAGTTTCATTTTCGTCTTGTCCACCATATCCGTCCAAGTATTGTAACGATACAGGTACAACTTCATTTTTAATTTCTACAACCTTTTGATTTTTAATCTGATCTTTCACATTTGCCCAATAGTGCCCAGTTTTTTTACTCTGCAACACCGTATTATAAATTATTTTGTCATACACATTGTATTTTAAATTCGTCGATTGAGCGTAGGTACGACATCTACGTCTCAAATATGATCGCAATAACAGACTTGAGTACGAGAACATTACAGTAATTACAATAACTCCGCTGTAAAAACCATTTTTAACGAAAGACCATGCAACTGATTAAGAAATTGGACATCCGTCACTTTAGTTGAATAGTCACATGAACTATTGTATTGGAATTTTGCCGACAAAAATATTATGATACATTTTGATAACCATATTATCAAATGTACTCAAGATGTCAATTTATACCAAACGTTCGGTGTTATCAATACAACGGGAACGCGTAAAAAAACCGAAAATAAATCAACCGAATAATATTTCGGCGGGCCGAACCATATTTGAGTCGAAAATATTTAAGCAGAAAAATATTTCGGCCGAACAGTATTTAAGCAAAAAAGTATTACAGTTAAGTGCCGACTGTTATAAACAAAATAAGAGATAAAGACAGATTAGATCAGATCTGACCCATGAACATCATGGTAATATCTTTCAAAAACCGATAACGCGTGATAAGAAATAAATAAAAAGAGAGAAATTCCTATAGACTTAAATTATAGATCTAACATAATAATTATTACATTAAAATTCCGTACATATTATTTAAAATAAAAAACAAGTTAACCAGATATCCCAAGAAACCTACTTCTATGTTATTTGAATTATGGATCAATGAAGTTAATAGGAAAATATATTGGTTTAGTTTTGATAATAAATCCAACGTGTGTAAGTAGGTGTTTACCTACACTTGAATAATTTAAATGCTTACAAATGGTTAAAATTAAAAATAAAACTAATTTAAAACTCAATTAAATAATAAATAATATATATTTTTATCATAGAAAATATTTAAAATGTTGTTTTATTATTTTTTGTTTGTTCAAAATTATGTGGGAATTATAACTCAAAATTTGCACGTTCTTTCAAATTTTTCAATTTTTGTTCAAAATATCGACGTTCAAACTTCAAAGTTTTCTAATTCAACCTTTTCTAATTAAATACAATGATAAGAAATGTACAAGTTGATAATTAGTAGGGTTTCGGCGATTTAATTGAAATACCTTCCGTTTTATTTTCGTCCAAAATGGAAATGTTTTTCTGATAATTTCATGTTCGGCTTAAATACGGTCGGTTGAAATATTTTCGGCTAAAATACGGTTCGGCTGTTTTATTTTCCCCCTCCCCCAATACAACGGCCAAAATTGTGTCATGTTACACCAAATATTTGTTGATCGAAACGGGTGTACCAATACATTTTGTGGGCGCCTAGATATACTAAATAAAAGGTCTTTGCGTGAGATCGATTATTTTACAATAATCATAGATTACTTAATCCAAAAGTAACAATGAAATATTAATCAATTAGGTATTTAAATTATTATTCTTTCTATTTCCTGCTTAATAGTTCATTAAAGTACTTGCCTCTTTAAAAAAAAAAGATCAGGTAATCATTCAATAAGTAACTAGTTTTAAAATAAAACTTTTTCTAGTACCTTTATTAAAAATGTGTTACCTATTTTTGTATGTATTCAAATTATTTAGCCAGCAACTATCATATTAATCAATAATTATTCATATGGTAATGGTTGATTTTTTTTTTGTCCAACGACACTCATAATCAAATAACTTTTTACTATTTAATTTATCATGTTTTTTACTAATTTTTCAGTGATAAATATATTAAACTTGGGTTTATTTAATTAGTATAGTACCTAGTATACGATTTTCCATCTCAATATTGCTCTACCACAATTAATTTTTAGTTTTTAATTTTCTTATTGTAGCCCAGCCCTCATTTCTACCATTTAGAAATGTCTTGATATAAAATTTACCAACGGTTACTCCAAAAAATTTTTCAAATTCACACCGGCTTGTTACAATAAATTTCATAAAAAAAATGGCCACCAAACTTTGTATCTATGAATTGCACTAAATAATAAATTAATTTAAGAAACTGATTAATTTAAGCTCAACTATAATTTTTTAATTTTTTAATTTTTTAATTTTCAAATATTTTTGTTCAGCTTAAGAATAAATTATATCCACATGAAACCAAATAAAAACTTAAATAGATACAGACATACTTAACACGGTGGGTGGCCCACTGTTGTAAGTGAGCAATTTTAGGAAGGTAGAATATAGAGGGAAATTTAATGTACCTACATCTACACACGATTAATCTTTGCTAACTAAAAACGATTCTAAACGCAGTTCAGTTTTACATGTTTCAAAAGACCGTAATAATTACTATTTGAAAATAATACATTTTCTCGTTTTTTCCCATTTATTATTAAAACTCCTGGGAAAATCAAAAAATTACATTTTTAAAATACTACGCCAGTCAGATTTCATTTCATAAAAAGTGCTGCACTTGAAAACCGGAGTAAAATTGCTAGTGTAAAAGTTGTCCACATTAAAAAAAAAATAAACATCATTGTAAAACCAGTATATTCCTTGCTCTGCTCACAATACAAAATGTCAATTGCCTATAAATAGCTCAAAAATCAATAGAACCTTTTGGAAATTTGACATTTATTAAGGATCAGTATCAATATTCTATAAGGTATTTCTATTTCAGATTACAACGTTTAACTGAATTACAACAAAAAAACATAATTGAAAATAATGAAACAATACTAGCTCAATTCTTTTATCTGGAAAGCGAATGTGGAATTATCTATATTTTAACCATTGAACGTAAATCTAAACTGATTTATTTTCCAAAGAAACTTCTCAAGCATTAGCAATAACAAAAACTAGAAAAAAAAATCAAAATCAATTTTTATTTTCTTTTATTCATATATTGTACATTTTTAGTGCTTATAATATTTCTAGGGCTACATTTTTAGTTATAAAAGATGTAAATGATAGAGATTAGACAAATATGATTGCCAATTTTTGTCTGTGGAAAGCATAGTACCTCTAACATTATTTTCTAAGTCAATCTGTGAAATCATAAAAATAATTATAAACCATTAGCTAATCATTATTACAATAGCATTTATTAATATTTTTTATATTAATAATATTATTTTAAACAAAAAAATACCAATATTAGATATTCAAACATAATTGTATTATTTTCACTTGAGCTGTCTGAAAATTTTAAGTAAAATAATTCTTATATAATGGTAATACACAAATACATTATTTCATTGATTAGCCAATAAGTGAATAGCTTAATATTATGTTAATATTATATTAACACAGATTTTATAGAGAAATTGACATAAAATAAGTTTCATATAAATATAATTTGTACAAATTATCTATAACTTTAAAATGAATAATATTCTAAATAACATAAATACAAATTTATAAAAATTGTCTCAAATATATTAAAAATGTTTAAGTAGTTAAATAAAATTGTCAAGTTTCAACAATTGTTTGTGAATGCCTATCGTTCATGCCAAACGAGTACAAAAAATAACCAAAAATATAAAAATAAAACATTAAATTATTGCACTGTGTTAAAAAAATAAAGTAATTTAATAGATTTGTAAATATACATAAAATAAGCACTTTTAAAACAATTAGAGGAAATAAATATTAAAAACATTATCATAAAATAAAAATTAAAAGTACTTAGAAAAAATATTAAAATGTAACTTTATGTGTTTTGAGAATTTTTTACAATTCGTTTTTTAGGCTTGGCTAGTTTTATAATAGGACTCTTGTGCCACATTTCACCATTAATGTTTTTATCTTCACATACACACAAAAATAATGTATCAATTACAACCTAAAAAAAAATCAAAACAAATTAATGTTAATTGTATTTATATAAATAATGAAATCATATTAAATGTATTGTATTCAAGTTTATACCATTACACACAAATTAAATATTATGACAAAAAGCATTTTTTTTTTCCTTATATTTATCACACTTAAGTTGGATAAGATACTCTTATATTAGTACATTTTCCAATTCTTAAATGTACTTATATCTATGTCATGTCCCTTCATATAACCCTTAAACACTATTTCTTTGCCCTATCTCTCTTTCACTTTTCATCTATCTTATTAGCATTATTATTATCTTTCAACATGCCAAAACTATCTTAACCACTTTTTTTTATCGTTTTCTCAGTTAATGAAACAACACAAAAACTACATCTTATCCATTATCTTATCTCATCATATCCTACAGTGTTATCTCTACACTACTAATTATTCTGTCAATATTCTTTTATTTTATTTTTTTTCAATCGGGTTTTGAGAGGGGGGCACATTTGTAGAGAAAAATTAAATTTTTATTTTCATCCCTTAATTATTGAAAAAAAGATAACTTTATTTTCACTTTAGAAAATTTTCAAAATAGCCATTTTGTAAAAGATATTATTCTAAAAAATTTAATGTATCATACATTCATATCCAATCAATAGATTCTCAGTAATAGTCGTTTTAATTTCTAGAAAATTGGCGTGAAAACAATTAATTTTCAATAGAATAACACGTTATGCAATAAGGAATCATACTCAACATGGTAATTTCTTATCTTCTATTTCATTATAATTACAACAATGTGACATAGTGACAATAATTATTTAAAGGTACCTATAGAAAATTAAATATGTTATTTTCACAATGAATTACCTCATGTAATGAAATTACACAGTGAGCAATAAAAAAAGCAAATATACATATAATGATAGTTGGTATAGCATGGAAATGCAGTTCGGATTTGGATCGCAAAGTGAATAAAGCTGCAGATCCAATGATCAAAGTAACCAAACACTTAGCCAGGAATAATATGAAGTCACCAATACTATTTATGGCAACCAATCTCAAAGCATTTCCGACTATAACATGCCATGCCTGAAACATAAATAATTGAACATTTTCAGTAGAAAACAAACATTGATAAATAATATACCCTTGATGCGGCTAAACAAAATCCAATGCCTTCCATTGATACTATAGTATATGCGTTGTGATTAATATACTTGAAAAAATTGTCAAATGAATATCTACAACAGGCACATGACTTTTTTATACATTGATTGTCTGTTGATGTTGTATTGTTCCTAGAAAACAAATTATTCTACAAAATAAAATTACTATTCAAATACAAATTAATATAATTTAAAAAGAAAAATAAATTCTAGTACTTATAATGGCATGTTGTCAATAGGAGTCTTGGAATTTTGAACAAAATAATCAATAGAGATCCTAGGGCTATAGAGCCCAAATGGTAAAATGCAAGATTATACATTGAAGAAAGAACAACAGATTTTTTATTCTTTCCACTAAAAAAATATTGTGTTATCAAATAAGTTACATTAAAACATATATTATGGAATACATACTTAGTGAAATACCATTTTGCTACTGCACCTGAAATAATCATATGCTGACATGCCAATACAAATTCAGATGACCATATTAAGCCAATTATATACACCCACCACATATAACGTACCCAAGTAGCATCTTTAAACTCTACTGCTGTCAACCCAGCTAAAACACAATACTTCAACATTCAGAATCCAATGATATAATTTAAAACATTGAAAAAACTTACCATTAACAAATGTCATGTTTTTCTCAAGTGCCTCATGAATAACTACATCAGTATTGTTGTGAGTTAAAAATTTTAATGATCTTGTACCTGGGTAGTCTGTAATATTTAACTTTTATATAAATAGAACATTTAAAACAAAAAATGAAAAAAAATAATTTATTTAAACTCACTTGCAGTGGCTAAATGTAGAATCACTGAAGTCCAAAATGCATAAAAACTAAGCAGTACAACAAATGTACCTAAAGGTTGCCAGTATAAAGCTGGGATTTTGGATAAACAATCAGCTGACTCATGAAATAAAGTAGACAAGAAATGTAATCGTTTCCGCATAGCCAACACCAACAAAAGTACAATTACCTGTTATACAAACAATTTAGAAGTATGAAATATTGGAAACAAACAATTGAATGTAATATTTACTGAAAATAATGTAAAAATGATGGCTAGTAATAAAAATGCATGTTCGTTGCAAGCATCAGCACTTAATATTTGTTCTTCAATAGTATTATCTAGACGTGTTTTCAAAGTAAAATATTCCCACCAAAGAAGAATTACATTTACTAAAAAAATATTAACAGAAATATATTAATTTGTTTAAAATAGACAAAAAAGTAATTAGATATATTTAAAATTGTATATATTACCTACCTAGTACCATCAAGCTAACAGCAATTAATAATATATAGGCGATAATTTTTGTAAGGAAATGTATTAAAAATATGATGATAAATGTCAATACTGTAAACAAAGTGAAAATATACGACATTAATAAAATTAACTGACAAACTCAACTGCATAAAATTCTTACCAAATGCTAATATGGTATAGAATAACATTTGAGGCCAAGTTTTATATAAATCGTTTAATATTTCTTCAGTGAAGTCCCAATTGTTCATCATACTGTATATATTATAAATCAGAGGTAATGTCTCATTGTTTACTTCTTGGGGAACACACCTGTTCATTACGTGTTGACTTTTATAAATTGGAAATGGAGGACAAGGACCCAAAGATGTAGTGAAATTCGTAAAGTTTTTTGCAACATCATCGGTGACTAGGTTAAAATCAAAATTGTAGCTATGACAATAAATTATATATTAATAGAATAAGCTGAAAAATAAAAACTTGCAAATAATTTGAAAGATATTACCTGCAAAGTGAGGATTGTGTTCGATTATAAAACTTCTGAAGATCGTCTAAAATTAATAAATTACTATCAGGACATTCTTTAACACATATTTGCAAACTATATTGAATGTTGATTGGATCCAAATAGAATAAAAACCTAAATATAATCAATAAATACACATGATCGATTTATAAATTTATAAGGTAGTATTTAGGTATAAAATTTACATTTTGTCTGTTGTATCTAAACCAGAAAGTTCTCCCATTTGGGAATTATCGGATACACCACAAGTATTGCCGAAACTATCGTGGCCGTTGATTAGACGTAGGGGATCGCCGTAGACAAACGCAAACACAGCTATAAATATCTAATAGAGGGAACATAATAAAATAGTGACACATACAATTCAAAAAATACTGATTACTAATGATCGCCTACCATAAGACACCATAGAAATAAAAAGACGCACAGCCATATAACATCCGTACATCCTCTGACCCTTACTCGTCCGGGCTCATCGGGAGCGTCCTTATCGAATCCACAACAGCCCACCATTGTGTTGTGCTGAAATAAAAGCAAAAATAGAATTCGATCACTTTGAAATTAACAGAAATATTGTGCTTTAGTTTACCCAAACAGAAGATATTTGGTAAATATCTTAAAACGGCAACAGGTTGTCTCTGGTAGCACAATTATTATAGGCTTCTAACGACATTTCTACAAAGTCTATGCAAACGTCATAGTCCGTTTGTTTACACCATGAGCACTAAAGAGTTAACACAGAATAAACAATAATAGCTGATTAGTGGAAACGAAACTACATTAGACTGAAGAACATCCAATACCTCAATTAAATTTGAACAAATTAATTTAATAAAATAAACATGATATTATTACAGGTAGAACACGGAATGAAAACAACTTTCCGTTGATAATACGACGTTATCATAGTGGCGCGTGACAGTAGACAGACCGATTGCCAAACAGCAGGTGCGCATTTCGCCTGTCTCTATTATTTTTTTACCTAATAAAAAAATAAAATCTCCCTCCTTTAATGTCCCTACAAGTTCTGTCAATCGTCGGGAAAAAGTTAAACATTCCTAATTAACAATTATAAGTATTTGAAATGAATTTACTTAATACAAAATTGCCCACTTATACTTACCTATTCGTATTTATTATAGGTACCTATTTAGTAGATACCTACGTATTTAGTTATTATAAAATGTGTTCATCTGCTCAAGTAGATATAATTATACTGATGAAATAAACAAATAAGCAATCATAATATTTACTTGATTGTAATGTATTTGAAACTTGGGATTTGGCCACGTATAGCCGTATACGTTTGGCACGTTTGCATGTATACATTTTCAAATACCTACCTAAGCTACAATTAAACTAAGAAATAGACTGTGCTTGAATTGCGAGTGGAAGTTACGGAGAATGGAGTACCACTTCTTTTCTTAAAAGGACGCTATACTCTCGTGTGCTGTTTCAGTCCAATTAACGGGCAATATAGCAAAATCTACCTTATGCAGACTGCGTAGTACAGACTCGCTTAATTTTGGTTTTAGAGTAAAGTCATCTATTATAAAATTAAAAGAACATAACATTCCGGAGTGCAAGACGATGAATTTCCTTTTTTAAATTCATTTTTTGAAATGTTTCAGTCATTTAAAAACGACGAATTGGTTTTTATTTCTAAACGATATATTGAACATTATATCTAGAATAATAATAAGAATAATAGGAAAAACACTTTATGTTCTTTATGTTACACTCCGGAATATTGTCCTCTTTTAATTTTATAATAAGTACTTTTACTCTGAAACCAAAATTAAGCAAGTTCCACGCAAACTTCATAAGGTAGATTTTTCTATCACGCCCGTTAGTTGGAGTGAGACAGCACGTGCAGGTACAGCATCCTCTTAAAATATTTTAGCGAACCACTTCTAATTTGCCTTAATGGTTTTAATCAGATTGAATTATTTGTTAATTTTTTGTTAATAATATGTTTCTAAAAGTATTTGAATATTACACGGACGTGTTTTTATCATTTGAGTATTTTTCGTCCTACTTTTATGTGGGTGCCTATATAATAACAGATACCTAGAACCTAGCTACCTATAACAATAATTGTCTGGGTAAAATACATAAGTGATGTTATAACTATGATAACCATATTTATGGCACAACTGTCACCTTTACAGTCGGACGACAACGAGGAATACCATTAAGTAATAACAATAAAATACATATAATTTTCTCCTAATCCCGTATAGGTATTAGGTATATATAATATGTAAACGCGTTTGTTCATAGATAGTTCATATTTCTTACGAGTTCGCATCGTGAAACGATAATATAATATTACATAGGTATATTATTACCTATAGCTATACTTAATTAATATTTTTTATTTCATCGCTGTAGCGTGTCTATAGAATAAAAAATACAATCTTCATTGTATACGTCATGCTCAAGGCTATAATATTTTATAGGCAACTGTTTCGAATTTTTGACGAGGTCTCTGAAATAAAAATATCATACAGTATAATAATAATAATTATATTAAACAAATAAATACAACAAGTGGCATGGTATCATTCAATATTAACTATTGTGATTTACAGATAGACAACTAAATAATATATTGCCCTAAAAATATAATTGAGCAGGTGCATATAGATAGAGTGACCATTTTATTACGAACCATTAATTTTCTCGGAAGATTTTAAGTGAATTTGTTTTTTTTTAATCATTATGGAATCGTCGTTTAATCATAATTCTAACACTATTTTCAATTGTCTATCCCTACTCCCTATACCTGACATGACTATCTACTTTGAATTTTTAAATAGCCAACCCCCTTCCCTTTCAATCAAAAATTCAAATAGAGAATACATTTTTAGAAATTTTGATATGTATAAAACAAATATCAGATTTGTCGTTTATAAATTATAACAATTAAGATGACCGGAAGAGTAAAGAAGAGTTATGTTTACTTAAAATCGTTCGAGAAAATTGCTGGTCCATGATAAAATAATCATCCTGTATACTGTATAGGTAATAATATGAAAACCCACGTATAGAATGGTACTTATATCAATTTTGCTCGGTTAACCTGATACTATGCGAGTGGGTTGTATCAGAACTTGAAATAGCACAGAATAACAAAAGGTACCCGCTGTGATCTCTATTTTATTTTGAGCGTTCCTTATACAAAATTGTTATCCCGAACAACAAACATAAGCACGTACGAGGTAGGGAAAATTAGCAAATAAACGAGAAGTAATTATTTGTATATTATTAGTAGATACGCTACCCTATGAGTAATTTGTAAAAAAGTATAATTTTCTTGTTTTTTTTTTTTTTTACAATGTGATCACATTAATACGTGTAATCGCAATTAATGGTCAAAAAAATAAGTTAAACGTAATGTACATTTTATAAGCTTATCAAATTCAAATTGTACAGCTAATCGTAAAAAACACAGAATTTCGAGTACCGACACAAACGTAGTGCGTATACCATAACTATTATTTTTCAGGTTTTAAATGTAGTAAACCTAGCCTAGAAGTGTGTATTGATTTTACTATGATGTGTGTTATTATTTTTCTGTCATTGAACGATTATTCTACCAAAAATCTTACTCCATCGAAAAATGACTAGAGACCGCTTTATCGTTGCATTTAAATCTAGTCTGTGCATTGAAAACGCCATTTTTTTTTTTTGATTTTCTACGTGGTTTTAATGTTTTCATAATAATTGGCAAAAAATTATATAGGAAAAACGGACAATTAATAATCAAGAAGTCATGATTATTTTAAATTTGTTTGATGTTTATTTTCTACCAGCCTAAGTATAGCATATTTCAAAAAAAATTGTTTAGTTGGTATGTGAGAACATTTTTTTAATTATTTTCTGTGTGGTTTTCTTAATAATTAGGAAAAACTGGGAAAACTTAGGAAAACCTGAAAGTTTACAAAATTAACGATTTCTGCATATTTTCAATTTTGTTGTTATTTGATTAAAAATATTCATTGAGATTTGATATTTTAGGATTGTCGAGCAGTCGGAAAGTCAATTCTAACTAGATAAAAAAGACAAATGGTAAGGTTAAATATAAAATATTCGTTACACTATCTACTATAGTTTTGCGGTCACATTCTCCCGGGGTTATATATAATACGAGGAGTTTTGTAGAATACCGGGGAAATTAATAAAAGTGTTAAGGGCACGGCTAACGAAAAAAAAAATTAAACTAAATCAAATCACTGTCAGAAAGTGGAGATCACAGTTGGTTTCCGTATTTATCGATCAAATGGGCAATAAAGTGAAAAAAAAGAGCTGATACAGAGGACAAGTGTGCTACAGTTGAGATTTTGGGAATATAATATATATGTAGAATTATTTAGTTTATATCTGTACGCTACGATAAATCATTATTGATAAATAGGACTCAGACTTAAATGCACTAAAAATTAATTTCACTGCAAAATGTCCCTAAAAAATATAAAAACATTTTTGTTTTAGTATAAAAATAAAACTGAATAGAGTCGAATTTCTCGCACTGAATATTTAAAATTATACAAATATTCTTAGTAAAACAATATAAATAAGAATAACCTATTATAAATTATGATTATGTGCAATCCTATACAAGTATTATCTTTATACTGAAATAATTATACAAGTTGTTTTTTTTTTTTTTTTAAAGTTAAATATGAACATAAAAATAGAATAGTATGGGCCGTGGTTGAAATCGAAAACTCCCAAAAGCCACATCTTTCATATTGCCCCATGTATATAGTTTAGTTCCTAGTTTCATAATGCATTATTTTTGGGGATCTGTCGGGGTAATTAAAGTCTAAAAAACACAAGAATCTAAAAGAATCCGCTATAGAAGTGCATAATGAGTACCGAGTAGTAACAACTTCATAGGTGAAGCGAGTGAGGCGTTACCTGATCTAAAATTATCTTATTAAAAAATAAATATACTATTATTACTTAGTGACATTATAAATATCATCTTTCAAAATATTAAAATTAATTTCCCTACAGAGTATAGAATATATAGTGATCGGTATCCGAATAATGTGATACATAGGTAAGTACGTAAATTAAATACTTTTAAATTTTCAAAATAATTTTAATAATATTGATGCCTAAAATCAGCCAATTTTAATAAATTATAACAGTATCAAGAAGCTCGGTTTCTATTTCTGATTATATAATTGTATATTCGTGTCTCTATGTGCAAACCCCCTCCCACCACCCATCCTCGTATTTTTCTTAAATTATTCTTCTAATCACGCGCAAGGTTCACGAGCCACCACTGATAACGAGAAAAATAAACAGTAGTATATTATATACAGTATATAGTCGTCTCTACTTGCGAGGAAAATTCGACAAAAAAAAGGTATTAGTTTTCTAATTTCCCACTCTCTCGGATAGCTTGGACATTATCTCCGCAATAACTTTTAATACACTGTGACTTGCGGCGATCAAATTATTATATTATTATATTTTTCGTGACTTCGTAAACCCGGTATAATATTATATACATCACTGCTTCCGTCTCTTCCACCACACAAAAATAGTGTGTGACATTTGTGCTTATATATAAGGACAGATACGTAGTCGCTGTGTCAGAGATATTGACTTTTTATACACAATAAGGAGAATTTTCCCCTCGGCCGCCTTCCACAGTGACGGTATACGCACGTAGTCATACAGACGCCAATTAATTGAACTTGTTCGCTCCGGTCGATTTTTCTGTCGGTAGAGCTTTAAACCCTAACTCCCGGTATGTGACGTAAATCGTAAATATACTTAACCGCCAACGCCCATGCCCCCGACAACGGTTATTGTTTCATCGCGTATAATCAATACTAAAATCATTTGTAAAGATATCTATATTCAAGTAAAATTAGACAATCATATAGATTGCATGTATTATATGTAGAGTTTTTAAATGTTATCAAATATTATTATTATAGAAGTAAAATGCTGAAAGTTTAA